CCTTTACTCAGGGACAAAGCTGCCCCCACCCACATCACACTGGGACTTTGGTAGAACTTCCTTGTCCTTCAGCCCGTACGGACAGTAGCGCGCTGCGGGGCAGTCGTGGTAGCTGGCAGTTGTGGGAGCCCTTGGTCTCTGAGTTACTGCTGGCTTGTTACTGTTCTTGTGGTGGTCCGTGTTTCTCCTTGTCTGAAACGCACGTTGCACGCAGCGTGCTCATTTCAGGTGCAACTGGAAGGTTTGTAGGAAAAAGTAGCTCCAGCCTGGGAGAACTGCAGTGTAAAAGTTCCTTCTGTAAGAGAACAGTATCGACTCACTGGAATATTTATTTCATTTCTAGACCAGTAGTTTTCCATGCCGTTTTAAACCGGTGCCAGAAGGTATGGCCAGAGCAGTAACTTGAGTTAGTACTGCCAGAGGAGGAGTGTGTACTTCAGGAGAATTGGGAAACTTGGGTTTTATTTTATGCAAGAACTGCATATTCTAAAATCATGTCATGCCGTTGTAACTTTCTGCTCTTCACTCTCTTTTTACCTCATCATATTTTTTTAGTAGGACTTTTGGAACGGCTGCTTTCTGAAGTGACAGCTTTAGTTCAGCGTAACGTGCAGCAACTGAGATCATCTCTTCCCGAAGCCGCTCCAACCTTTCAGTCTATATTCAGTAGCAAAGATTGAGTTTCTTGTGTACAGCAACCAGATTAAACTGCTCTTCGGCTCCATCTGCAGGCTTATGTTGGCCTTGGGGTCCTGTCAACAGAGATTGCACTGTAAGAAGATGGATGAATGGTAAAGGGGTCATAGTGGCTCTTGCCTTAAAGATGAGGGACCTCCAAGAGTGGATTAGATCAAAACTGTGCTTGGTAGGCTGTTTCCAACAATATCCCCAGAAATCTAGTGTTACCTCTGCTCTGGATGCCGCTGGAGACAGGTGATGCTTTGTCAGCATGCAAGCCAAGCGTGCTTGGCATCATCAGGCTTTCAGGTGGCTGAGCGGAGGTGACTGGAGCAGTGTGGGAAACACTTGTTACTGAGATTGTGTCTGAAGTTAGAGCTAAAACTAAAATGCAAGAACTTATCATGTCAGATCACTGATAATTTTGTACTGCTACTGACTAAGGAGTAGGTATTAATTGTGATTGTTGAACGTGCATACTTACTGTGCACTATCAGGAAGGTTTGTGAAGCTTTTAGAAGAACCAACTGAGCGGAGAAGTGAGTGTAGAGAGCTGTGATTTATTTTTTTTTAGTATTATTTTAATTTTATTTTATTTGACTGTATTGAAGCTGATACCTCATGAGAAATACTGGATTTTACCGATTCCTAAAATAGTGCCCCTAGAGCAGTGTGGTAGGGGTATGGTCCAGAAAGAGAGCATCCCACCGTAAGCAGAAGCTGCTGCGTGTGCTTGAAGCAAGAGGGCAGAGGGAAATCTAGCAGTGTGAACTGAGTCTGCTAAAGATAAATATACAGGAAGAACAACTGAGTGCAGAACACTGAACTTTTCAGAGTTTATGCTGGTATGTGCAGCATGTGGAAAATAACTTCTAATGAGATTCAGTTCCTAATATGATGCTCAGTTACTATATAAAAGTTTAGGAGAAATATGTTTCTTAATTCTTTTGAAATCACCTCATTGGATTTTAAGCTCCCAAGGACCGCTTTTTTACAACGCTTCACGCGACAGCTCTGCTAGTGATCAGGATTTCACATGCAATAGAAATAATGGGATTATTCTTCCTAGAAAATAGGAGAGGTTTTGTGTGTTTTATGTGCATGAGGTGCTTATTTTCCCCCCACTTCATTCTTGATTCCCTGCAAAGTTACATGATAGCCTTTGCCATTTATGGTCTTGACCACAATAATTACAAATTTTTCTTATTGGATTGTTGTGGTTTACCTCGGCTGGCAACTAAAAGCCACACAGCCACTTGCTCACCCTCCCCCACCCCCAGGGAATGGGGAAGAGAATTAAAGGGGAAAAGGGAAGGAGACTTAAATTTATAGGGTTCCTGTTGTTTGTTCAGTGGAGAAATGTATTCTTTCTATAATGGAGGCAGATGTCATCACACTCAGCTTTTCCTCTGAGCCAGCTGAACGCTAGCCGACGTCCTACCCGGTGTAGGCAGAGGGGGTTGCTGCAGAGCAGTTTAAACAGGTCTGAATTGTGGTTGTTCATTCTTAGTTTCCGCATGCCAGCACTCTGCCTGGGTGGTACACCAGTTTAGGAAGCAGATCCAGGAAAGAAAAACGGGAGGAAGGGAAAGGATTATTTTTTGGGTGTCTCCTGCCTGCGCTGGCCTGCTGCCTGGCCACACGAGCACCTGTGCAAGCACAGAGGAGGGGCATTGCTGTTGGGCTGGGAGTGGGCTGGCATCTTGGCAGCCCGTGTCCACGTTGGCTTAAGCACCCGTCACTAATGTAGCACCAGGATCTGGCTACGAGGTGTTGTTGTGCGGGCTCCATGCTGTAATAATGTGATTTTAGAGCTTTTGGTTGGTGCAAAGCATGAGCAGAACAAATTGTGCAAGTTAGAGATGAACAGAAATCAAAGTAGAAACACTCGATTCTTTTTTAGGTAAGATTGGTCTGTGTTGCTGTCTTTTACTGTCTGAATCATTGAAAAGCGGACACCAGTAGAAATCCTGTGTAGTGAAGGCAACGGAGGAGTTGATTTTGGAACAGCATGCATGAATTTTAACGATTTGAGGACAAAGAACCCTTGCAATTTGACTTGTTTACTCTGTTCCGAAACGTCACTGAAGATGTAAGATTGTTAGTAGCTCTAAGTAAAGGCACATTTAGAAAGTGATAGGTGATGTTGTTGAGATCGGTTAGATTCCTTCAGTTTGAATCCTCTGAGATGTGAGCTGACAATTTAGCATTTCTTCAGAGTTCTTGGACAACTCTATGTTGTCTTGATGATAAGTCGTAATACCAGTGCTGAACATGCTGAAGTAACAGTTCTTTGCTGTTGAAATGAACAAACATTAGAGAGGAGGTGCTGTGCAGGACCTAAGCTCCTAAGCTAATAAACTGTGCCAGACCTTTATTTTCCTCCCGTTTCCCGTTTCCCGTTTCCCGTTTCCCTTTCTTTTTTCCCTTTTCCCTTTTCTTTTTTCCCTTTTCCCTTTTCTTTTTTCCCTTTTCCCTTTTCTTTTTTCCCTTTTCCCTTTTCTTTTTTCCCTTTTCCCTTTTCTTTTTTCCCTTTTCCCTTTTCTTTTTTCCCTTTTCCCTTTTCTTTTTTCCTTTTCCCTTTTTTTTCCCTTTTCCCTTTTTTTTCCCTTTTCCCTTTTCCCTTTTTCCCATTGTGTGCCAGCTCTGCTGCTGACAGGGAGAAGGGAGCTGGTGGCAGATAGATAGATAGTAGGAAAAGGCCAAGAAAGGAAAGCGATAGAGATGGGAGAAGACACAAGAAAGCAGAGATAAAGATGTGAAGAGGACTTGATGGAAGGAGGACTCAACTGGGAAGTTTCCAAATAACCACTTCAGATTTCATGATGCTGGTGATATCATGAGGAAAAATTTACAATTGTCCTATTATTCCATCAAATATAAAAGCACTTATGTTCTTTGAGTAACTTTTCTTGTAGGCATGGAAGGTGTCTCTGTTTAAGTCATTGTCTCTTGGACTACTAGGGAATATATCGTTCCAGTTACAAGATCACTGACATAATGAAATCTTTCGAGCGTTTTCCACTGTACAGTATGTATAAAGAGATGGTTATTTTGGCACATTTTGAGCAGAACATTATGGAAGCTAAGCTTTCAGTAAAACTCTAGTTACGCATCTGTTTCAGTTCTTAAATTTCCCTCTATCGAATTTTACTGAAGGAAAACTTACTGAACCTTTGCACATGGTAATCTATAAGCTGGTATCATTTTATTAGAATCAGGGAAAATCATGAATCTGCAGTTCAAGTGATGTGGATTTTATTGCAGAGAAAGAAAACTCCTCAACACTGCATTGTCTTGTTTGTTAAAGGTAGTGGCTTGGGGGTTATATATTTCTGTATTTCTGTCATTCTGTTGTTTCGGTCTCTGTTTGGACTGTGGGATTAAGGATTGGCTCTACCAGTTTGTAGCTGTCCTCTTTCATTTGTCCATATGAAATACCCTTCGTGGCCTTTTAGAGCAGACTTCCAAAAGATAACTTCTGTGTTCTATTTACCAAGTTACCAATACGTACATTAAAAAAAACATACAAACATCTGAACTGTAGGGAGCTCACTCATAGGCTGGCTTTCTGTGGAGCAGTGCCTGGGTGCCAGACGAGAGCTAAAATAGAAATTGTCTCCTCTAGGGGTTCTTCATGGGGGAGATGTTCAGAGTAGCTCTCCTCTTGTGAAATTTGGAAATTCTCAGGGTAAAGCT